AAAGCACGCAGGTGATGGAGATTTACCGCTGATTACAGAACCGGCTTTCTGACAAGATGCGCATTAAATATCGCCTGCGATTTATCGTGCAGCCCTACTCTGGACTTAATTTCTCGAGTTGTAGACATGAGGACTTGCCTGAGGTAAATTAAATGCTACGCGACATTTGTTTACAAGCCGTTTTAATGACGCCTTTCCGTGGTTGAAACACTGATTGAGCGGTTACACGAGAAGTCTGTCACGCCACATCAAAGAGCGCCAAAACGGCATTTAATGTTTGAATTAACTAAAAAATGGACATAATTTGAAAGACGAGACTCTGTTTCTTATCAAAAGTAATAATATGTAAAACTTGAAGTTTCAAATGAAGTTCCACCCCTGTTGAAAAAACCAGCATATGCTGGTTAGGTATGTTAAGGACCAGCTAAAACCAGCAAAGGACCAGCTTAAACCAGCATCCCAGCGTCAAAACATACCTAACCAGCATATGCTGGTTTTTTCAACAGGGAGGGGTTTTAGCACATTGCTACGTTTATTGCAGTGGTTATGCTGTATTTAATTTGTTCAGGAAACATAGGCTACATACCGAACCAAAAGACCCATACCGAAAATTTTTGGTATGAATGCTACACCCCTAGTATTAGATAGCATTAGTTAACCGCTGTGTATTACCTTATTATGGAAGTTTAGGGGCCAGACGTTCTGGAAGGTTTATAGGTAAAAACTTGGAGGTCATATATTTTTGGTAGTGCTTGTAAAAAATCATGCTACAGAAATAATATGAGTGCTACTGTACTATGCTATAGCAGTCAAGACCAGTTCATTTGAGTCCAGGCCGAAACCTAAGTAAGTTGAGTTTACGACAAGACCAAGACCATGAAAACAGGGTCTTGGACTCAAGACCTTTATGTTCACAGCTCACCTGAGCTGGAGATGCCTGGATGTCTGTCGTTGTCCTCCTCACCCTCGGACACCTCAAAGGGTGGACTGCGTCCCCCGGGGTCCTCATCATCAGTACTGCAGTGGGGGACGGGGGACCGCTGGTACAGTGGGTGGGGGATGTAAGTATACTGTAGAGAGAAACCAATAATCATCAGTCTTGCCTTAACGCATTTCTGGCTCCTTATACTAAAACATGAAGCCATGCAATCAAAGCAATCAATACTATCACCCAACTCGGTCCAAGTTCTCAGAATTAGGACACATCTATGGCTGTTAACTGTATCTAATCCACCTAACCTGCATGTGTTTGGACTGCAGGGGAAACCAGAGCTCCCTGCGGAAACCCCCTGACAAGGGGAGAGAACATGTAAAACCTGGCTCAGTCGGGACTCAAAACCAGGGACCTTCACGCGGTGAGGTAACAGTGCTGAGCCCCTGTTCCACCCAGACTGCATCCATAACCTAAACCTCAGTGGGACTTGAGCAGGTCATACGAAAACGTACAAATTCACATGAATTCGTCACCAGTTTCCCAAAACATACAAAAACATGCAATTTTTAAGTAAAAAAAAAAGCATGAACCTGCAGCCTAAACATAACCCTTATTGGGGCATGAGCAGGTCATACGAAAACAACAAATGAGATTGTATGAATTCATAAGAATTTTCAACCAGTTTGCCAAACCGTGACATTTTTAAATAAAAAAGCGTGAGCTTGTACCCTAAAACTACCCCTCAGTGGGCATGAGCATAGAAAACGAACCAATGAGATAATACAAATTTAGATGAATTTGTCAAAGGTTTTTCAAAACAGTCAAAAATATATTATTTGTAATAAGAATAGTGAAACTGCACCCCTAGTCCAAATGAGATTTCATGATTTTAGAGAATTTGGCATTAATTTGCTAAAGTGTGCAATAGTTACAAACTGTCAAGAGTCTGTGTTGTCTAAATTGTAATTTCACTGGATATTGGATAATGCAAAATATAAAGCAAAATATCAAACAAATGCAAATGATCAGGTGATGTTTTGTGATTAGTGTATCAATCGGACATTCCCCCACACTTATTTTCAAGCATAAAAAAATGCTGGTTTTGCATGATCTTGTATAAATATCAAATACGTGGAAACCACAGAATTACTTTACATTGAAAGAGGAAGTAGAAAAACTCAGTGTCAACAGAAAGGGACACACAATGGTGTGCTCTCAGATTTACAAATCAAGTGTGCATCACGTTTTGCTTCCAAATCAGCCCAGAGAACCACAGAGTTTCATTTCTATCAGCAGAATGACACAAACACATTTAGAGATGGCCTGTTTATTACTGAATTATATTTGGAGGGGTGTATCTAAAATGAACGTTTATATTAATTTACACTTGGTTTCGATGTAAGTGAGCAAAAATGCACATTTAATCACTACTTCTCCTGGTGCTGCATGAGCAACTGTCATTTAGATGATATAAAAAATACAATGTGAGAAAATCAAAGCGAACCCATTATAATAAATGATACTGTCCACAGTGGATGCGACTCGACACTGACAGTGAACTGAAGCCCAGGTTAATTTCTGTAATGCATGCACTTGCGATACTTCCGACAACCATACGAATGGATTTAGAACTTCGTTGACATTATTAGCGTAGACAGCATTTAGCTATTGAGACATGACCACAACTAGACACAAGTAGAGGCAATGATAGGCTTAGGGTTAGAGGTTAGTGTTGGTTTAAGCATTACACTGTGATTTACATGACCAATCAAATCATTAGAATGTATGTGGGCGGGGTCTGTGCTTAAGTGGTTTAAGAAAAACGGAAGCTAAATTGTATGGAGAAGCCTAATTTTATTACGTGTTTATTTTGTGTGTGCGTGTTCGTTTTGTAATATATGATAAAAATGTAATTGATTTCTGTGATCAAAGCTGAATTTTCAGCATCATTACTCCAGTCTCCTTCAGAAATCATTCTAATATGATGATTTGCTGATTAAGAAACATTTCATATAATTTTCAATGTTAAAAAGTTTTTTTTTTTTTTGTGGAAACTGATACACTACTGGGCAAGTAAGATTGAAAATAATAATAATAATAATAATAATAATAATAATAATAATAATAATAATAATAATAATAATAATAATAATAATAATAATAATAATAATAATAATAATAATAATAATAATAATAATAATAATAATAATAATAATAATAATAATAATAATAATAATAATAATAATAATAATAATAATAATAATAATAATAATAATAATAATAATAATAATAATAATAATGTTATTTCTATTTCAAATAAATGCTGTTCATCTAATTTTTTATTAATCAAAGAATCTGAAAAAAAAGGTATCTCAGTTTCCACAAAAATATTAGACAGCACAACCATTTTTAATATTAATAATAATAATAATAATAATACTTTTTTTTTTAGCAGCAAATTGACATATTAGAATGATTTCTGAAGGATCATGTGACACTGAGGATGCTGAAAATTAAGTTTTGCCATCACAGGAATAAATTGCAGTTTAAAATATATTAAAATATAAAACATATATTTTAAATTGTAACAATACTTCACAGTGTTACTGCTTTTACTGCATTTCTGATCAAATAAACGCAGGTTTGGTGAGCTTAATTATTCCTGGCAGTGTATGTGTTGATGAGCTGCTTTATGTCTGAAACTGTATGCTCAAATATCAAATGCTGAAACTCTAGCAAATTCAAAACTACTAGTTTGCATCAGATTCAGAGGCTTGACTGTGATTGTCTTCGGCTCGCAGGTCTTGTGTAAATGTGTGCAGCAGCAGCAGCAGCAGTCTTTAGTCAGGAAAAGACAGTGTTGAGCAATCAGTCTGTCTCCGCTCACATCCTGCCCATCTCTCTTTCTCTTTCTTTCAGACCTTTCCTCTGATTACAGTCACTGAACCAATATTACTAACTGAACATTTTTCCTGCAGACTAAAAACTAAAGTAAATTGAGCACACCTTTATTATCTTTCTTATTTTACTGAATAGAATATAATGAATTCTGTACTTCTGTTGAAAGGCCACAGTTAATCAGTTCATAGACAGATAGACAGACAGACAAATAGATGATAGACAGATAGATAGATAGATAGATAGATAGATAGATAGATAGATAGATAGAAAGACAAACAGATAGACAGACAGACAGACAGACAGACAGACAGACAGACAGATAGATAGATAGATAGATAGATAGATTAGATACACAGATAGATAGATAGATAGATAGATTGATAGATACACAGCCAGACAGATAGATAGATAGATAGATAGATAGACAGACAGACAGATATATGATAGATGATAGACAGACAGACAGACAGACAGACATATAGATGACAGACAGATAGACAGACAGACAGATAGATAGATAGATAGATAGATAGATTAGATACACAGATAGATAGATAGATAGATAGATTGATAGATACACAGCCAGACAGATAGATAGATAGATAGATAGATAGACAGACAGACAGATATATGATAGATGATAGACAGACAGACAGACAGACAGACATATAGATAGATGATAGACAGACAGACAGACAGATAGATAGATAGATAGATAGACAGACAGACAGACAGACAGACAGGTTTGCTGACTAACCTGTGGAGGAACGACAGGTAAAAATGTTCCCATCCCTGAATCTACGGCTGCATGGAAGGACTCCACGTCTCCGTAGCGGTATGTGCTGGGATGCAGCTCAGTGAAATGGTTTCCTTGAGGCGGCTCAAATTCACTGTGATGGCCTTGAACACTTGTGTAGTCCCATCCACTTTCTTGCATGACAAAAAGGGAGAATAAATTCTGAAGTTAAATTTAAAATAAGTATGAAATTGTATGGAAATGTATTTTTATTTTATTTAATTTTAATTTTATTTTTGTTTATTTTATTTAATTTTTGTTTAGTTTATTTTTGTTTAGTTTAGTTTAGTTTAGTTTAGTTTTTTATTTTATTTTATTTTATTTTATTTTATTTTATTTTATTTTATTTTAGTTTTTCTAGCTTATTTTAGTTTATTTAATTTTTGTATTTAATTTAATTTAATTTAATTTAATTTTATTTTACTTTATTTTTGTTTATTTTATTTTATTTAATTTTATTTTATTTTAGTTTAGTTTAGTTTAGTTCCCTTTCATGGGAACTTCGAACTGCGTCCTCTAGGGGTCGCTATGGGGAACGCCTCGTCGTGACCCGTGTCTGAAGCATACATTGAAAAAACACCAACTCGTTGGCCGGCGACAGCC